GCTCCCGTAACTAAAAATATCGTCCCTCCTCCGGTGCCCTGCCCCTTATTTTGTTCATGTCTTTATCGTCTCTTAGAACTGATTGACTTCCTCTTTCTCGGTGCCTTTGCCGTGCGCCCACAGTCAGTCGTGTTGTTTGGAGAGCGCAGTGATAACAGTTGAGCGACTGATAATTTACAAAGCAAACATTTATCCTCCAACAGTTGAAGACGACGATCTGCTGCGGTCTGACTCTGAGACCCAGGTTCAGGAACTGCCACATGGGAGAGACGTGATAAATCTGCCCCTTTCCCTCGTGTGGATCTGCCCCCGGGGGCCGACTCACAGCTGTCTTTGGCCAAGAAACCTTTACAAGAATGTGTCCTGGGGTTGTAATTAAAACCTCAACAGGACGCTCTCAGGTACAGAGTCGTCTGAACGTAGTCACCGCGTAGACCAGTACACAGACTTTCCTTCTGGTCTAGATTTGAAAAAAAATACACAGGAAAACTATTGTTGTCTTGTGTAATTTTCAAATTAGTTTTCAGTTTAGTCTAGACACTTGCAGTCGTTTTTGCGGCCCTTTTGGTGGTGCTGGCGGCCCAACTTTGGGCCACGGCCCTCAGGTTAGGAATCACTGGTATAAATAATGCTACCTGGTACGCTGCAGACTGACGACAACTCATTATGCGTGAAACAAAAAATAAAAAAAAGTTGAGATAGTAATTCAGAAAACAACAACAACAACAAAACATTTGTTTGAACGAGAGACAAAAAGTTTTTTTTAATGCTGTGTTTTTGGACTTTTTTTAAAGATAAAGAGCAGCTGCACCGCTGTCATCCTCATGACACACACGTGACTGAACAACGCTGTCGTACAGCAGACTCCGCAGCTCCGTGGTCGGACAGTTTAACTGTCAGATTTTCTAACACAACAAGGTCTTGTGTCCAAACGCGGGCCTTTGTCCTGTTTTCCTTCACCCTGTCTGTTGGCTCCTCTTCTTTTTTTCTCCCTCCCCTCAGTTATTGTTATTTGGGTTATTTACTAAATTCCACTTCACAGCCTTTTGTGTTGTGACAGAGACACTGTGTTAAATCAGCTCGTGCCTCTGGCTCAGTCAGGCTGAAACTCCTTTAAAAACACAAAGGCTCTTTCAGTGGAAGGCACCCACACTGCACCACAGCAGCAGCAGCAGCGATGATGATGATGATCGCAATATATCGTTGCCCGTATCGTGATACGTATCGTATTGCCAAAACAAAACCAAAAACAGGAATCAACTCCACAGGATCTATTCTGGATCCAACATCATTTGGTAAAAAAAACCCAACAATCAACATCACCAGAATACAGAGAGTTCACGGTTATTGTGAAATGATCCGGTGTTTCTTGAAGGTGCGTTCAGAGTGGTGTCACTCAGTGATATCACATGTCATCATCTCACCGGCCTGCAGCCTTTCAGGACATTACAGCATTTTTTTTTTTTTTTGCCACACCTGCTCACTTTGATGTCTTTGTAGCTGCGATCTCCATGTAGGTCAGAGAGCCGCGCTTTGGATGTAATACACACCAGTGTAACCTACACGAGGGGAACTCCCTTCTGTGTGTGTGTGTGTGTGTGTGTGTTGCTGTGATGTCATGGTCCTGAGGCAGTGAACACAGCACACTGACCAGACATTTGTTCAGTACACACCTGTCTGCATTTGGAATTTACTTTCTACTTCATTAAAATTGTTGAAAAATATCTCAATATATCGTCGTACCTATAGTATCGCAGTATATCGTATCGTGATACGTACGGTGATCGCAGGATTCTTGCCAGAACACAGTCATAAACACAGACTGTAGCTGCTGAGACCAAACATCGACTCCAACCTCT